CGCCCCAGCCGCCCCCGCCGTGCGCCCCGGAGCAGTGGAGCCTGTCGGCGTATAAAAGCCCCCCGCACCTGCAAGCAGCCGGTCAGAGACGCTGTCAGATCACCATTCCCCTCATCAGCCGAGTCATCGCGCAGGTCATGGCGCAGCGGACCACAACAGCAGCGCCGCGGCCCCTGCCGGCCGCCGCCGTCCTCGCCGTCCTCGTGGCGGTCCTCGCCGCGCTGCCGGCTCCTGGAGCACCCTTCCCCGTCAGCAGATGGACCGACACAGCCGTGGTAGAGTCGACAGTGAGTCGCATGGACTCGAAAAGTGCGACGCGACGCAATTAGGCAGATTCACTGCAAACCCAACACTTGAACGTGTGTGCTTGCAAGATTACTCTTCCTTGTTTGTACAGAGTACACTGTTGGGTTTGCAGTGATGTTGATATCATTTATTCTTATTAACTGTTCTCAACATGAATCATGCGTAAACGAATGATAACGATAAACAGGATGACTTATCAACGAAACCTAATCTTGATTGTTCGTCGGCAGCGGTGGGACGTGGAAACCCATGGCAAAAAACAAATGTAAACATGGGGGCGCGAGGGAACCGTTACGCCCTTCAATAGCGTCACCTCTGTAGGAGCGAGACGGAGAGAGGGAGGGGAAAAAAACCGAGAACGAGACGGAGAGAGACGGTCTTTTCACGGCCCATCGGCCAGCAGTAGTGCTTGAGTCAGGTCTGGGACCCCGGAGCAGCAAAAAGAGACTGGCGCTGCTTGCAGCTGAACAGTACGTAGCAGCAACCGCGCCCGGCCCCCGGTCACTGTCAGCAGCCCCTCATCATCCGTACCCGTGTAATAATGTTTACCCTCGCACTCGTCGTTTGATTCTAATGACGGCGCCTGCTTGCCGGGCGATAACGTCAATAAGGGAACACGCCATGTGTGTTTTTGTCACGGTGGGAAAAGCATCGGGCGTTCCCGGAGGGTGCAGTGGGCGGGGCGCGAGTGTTGAGTAACCGCCGATAATCAGCAGTGCTTGTCCCTATCTGTTTTGTCACCGCTCTATTACCGCCTGCTTCTCCTCCCCCTCTGCGAGATCCGGGAGGTGTACGCGCGCCCGCCCACCGACATGCTGTTCGCGGCCACCAACGACGAGCACCGCGCGTCCACGCACCAGGCGCACCAGGCCGGTAAGGTGCGGCACGTCAAGGGGGGCGGCGGCAAGAACGGCAAGGGCTACCACCACAAGCACTCCTCCTCGGGCAACGACGGCTACAAGCACTTCGACGCCTTCCACACCAAGAGCGGCGACAAGTACGGGTGAGTTGCGGGACCGGCTCTGCTCTGTGGCATGTCTGCCGCAGGGTCCACAACTTCGGATATTCGCACGGGTCAAACAAAAAATAATATTCACTAGTCTTCACTATTATTCATTTGTATTCACAAATTTTCAAGAAAATTCAACATGTTAATATATTTACGGGGTACAAAATTTCCGAGTTGCATGGACCCCTCGATATACTCTACCTTACCCGAAGGGTACAGAGTCCTCTCTGGCTCTGAGAGTCTCGCCACCCCTGGGAGGCCGCCAGCGTCGTTCACGGCGGTATGATGGGTTGCCTATCCCTCGATGCGCAGGCGCGGGGTCTGGAAGCTTCTTCCGCGGAGGCCGTGACTAAAGGGGCACTTCTCCTTGTCACCGCGACAGGTACGAGCAGCACTCCGCCTTCGGGAAGAAGAAGAAGGGCGGTAAGAACGAGAAATACGGCGCCGCGGGTGACGCGGGCTTCGCCGGATCTCACCCCGACGTGGAGGTGGTGCGGGACACGGCCCGGGTGAGTCAAGCGCCCGTCGTCAACACCCTCCAGGTTGGCCTCGGTGTCCAGGGCCCACGTCACGATGTCAAGCTCTTTGTCCCCAGATACGGCAGGGGCCACGGTCGCAGTCGCTCCAGGACGTAAGCGGGGATGCCTCCGTGGACCGCGAGAGCTCCTCGCACCGGCGCGGACTGCACGGAGAAGACGACATGTTCTTCGTCTTCTCGGGCGGAAACGAGAATCAGGAGGATGACGGCGAGGGGCAGCAGCAGCAACAGGCCGCCGACGACGACGACCACGACGACGACGGCGAGGCGGCGGTAAGGGCTCGCCGATGAGAGACCACTACACCCTCCTTTGAAAAGAATAATCACTTGTGACGTACCCGAGGTTTCCAGCTGTTCCTCATGTGTATTGACGAGTGTGATGATTACGACTGACGTTGCCGTGCTGGTTGCTGTGCGCCGCAGGAGCAGCAAGAGGCCGCCGAGGACGACGACGATGACGACGAGGGCGGCCAGCAGCAGAAGCAGCAGCAGGCCGACGACGACTACGACTACTGAGCGCCCCGGGTCCAATCCGCGGCCCAGCTGTGAGGCGACCGATATCCACGAATTTCCTGGATTTGAGTAGGCGGGATTTTGTACTGCCCCCCAGGACAATTATGATGGCATTGTTAATGTATTGTGAATTCTAGTCAACCTCGTTGCCTCCTCGCCCTGAAAGGAGGGGTGGGGTGATTATCATTGTCATGTTATATTTTTGTGTTTTATCTTACCATCACATTGTCACAGTCTTTTCATCTACATACTCATATTGTTAAGGCCTCACACTTTTATCTGCATTATATCATATTAACACATCTTGTGTACCTGCGAGTTTTTGTTGTATTAATAAATACCTTCCAAACGTTAATCCCCGTCTTATCGTTGTTTTGTTTTTGTTTGTTTTTCATCACACGCAACATTATCGTAAAAGTATAAAAACCGTACAGTGTACAGTAACATGAATTAAGTTCCACTATCTACATTGGAAATGATGTGCTTCTTGGTAGTGGAGAGGCCTTTGAAAGCCCCACCCCTCCCTCTCTCGCACCCTGCCTGCACAGTCCTTGCGCTTGGCCCCCGCGTGGTCAGAAGGCGGATCCGGAGATGCGGAGGTCCTCCACTGAAACCCAAGGCGTGACGAATGGTCTTCTAGAACGTCCTGGTGGAGGCCAGAAACGCTCTCATGATCGAAAACACTTAATACTTATTCGATACCGGACAAAACAAAAGTTTTTCTTTTCTTTCGTGAAAAGAAGTAGCGAAAGAAAGATACAATTAAATTAATTCGATTGCGATGCGAGATCAGTGCCGATTTATTTCCTACTATAATTTTCTCTTGGTCGACTCGTCATCAAAGACTACACGGTAGAATGTGCGCTCTGTACCAGACGGCTGAGTAGGGACCGTCCAGAAAGCACGGCCGTTTCCTCAGATTCATTCGGCTAATTAGGGGAGCTCGGCGCCTGCGATACGGGGGTTAGGCCACCCCGCAATACACGCATGCACTCCAGGCAAGATATTGCCTACCCACCAGGCGCTATGAGAGCTTGCAGAGGCTGAACTTGGTAGGTTCGTGACGGCGAATAACGGACGTACTTACAGGATGATCCTTGAACCCGCGCACTTCCTAGTCTCATGCATGCGAGTGAGTGGGTTTGCCTATCGTCGCTGACTACGGCGTCTTACGTCTTCGACCTGGTATAGGCAACGCGCCCGCACGCCACCCCTGTATGCGGTACAGTATTTCTGCAAAAGTGCGAATAGTAAAACGGCTACATTTGCAGCTTTACAGGATGGACAACAGACTCCTATTTCCTGTCATGGCCCAGCCGACGCGCGTAGACAATCCGCACGCAAGCGTGCATGCGGTGCAGTCTAAGTGCGGCGGTGGGCGGCGCGAATCAGGAAGTCAGGAAGTGAGAGGTGACCCACCCTCCAAAGAGTAAGGGAGTGCTGAGACGATATACCCGCGCAGCTGCGACGCAGGCCTAAACACACTTTGGCTCGGGCTGCTCCGAATCTGCTTAAGAGGTGGTTCGGTCGTTATATGGCTCGGCCATTGGGCTGCGGAAGGAACCCCCCGGGTCGGGCGGGCTGGTGTGCCACTGGACATGCAGCGGGAGTAGACCTGTCACCAGGCTGGCAGGCCTTCGGTGTTTCCCGAGGCGTTGGCTCGCGAAGGGCAGCAGGGCCAGCCAGCCCAGCACGGCGCGAACACGAAAGCGTGACAGGGCAGGCCTGGCTGCGCTCGGACTGCGCCTCGCACTGCGAAGCTGCGCAGCACTGTGCCCGAGCTGAGCTTGCTGTCGTTGTAGCTGTTCAGGGCAAAAAGCTGTAGGACTTGGGCTGCTTGACACGCCACGGCACGGCAGGTCAGGGCACGCCTCTGGAAGCTGGGGACCCCCCAGGCCCCCACCACCTGGAGGACCACGGCGCCCACCACCGCCACCTCCGTCGCCGTCTGCGCCGCCACCCCCACCACC